TGACTTTCCTCCAAACATCTTTTAGTTTGGGCTAGGAAAGCGATGGATGACCTTCCCGGGCTTGTGGATGTTAGAGTTTCACCCTACTGACTTTTTCCTTCCATGTCATTCATATTTAGTAATGGGGTCCTGTTCCTTCCTCCTCTGCCAAGAAGATAAAAACACAACTGAAAAATCCAAATATGTCACTGTGGAGTTACATTGTGGGAGGACAGCAGTGGGAACATTCATGTTTATTCCCAGATTAAAGTTGATTGGGGTTGTTATGTTTTGTGTAGAGTTTTTTGGAGGCGTTGCCCTTTCTTAGAACATCATGTGATTTAGTGGTGATAATTAGGCAGAAACTTGTCTTCCCTACAGATGCCAAGATTATAGAGGGATTTACTCTCACCAGAGACCAGATGACAGCATCCACAGATATTTTTAGAATGGGCTTCATCATTTTGTCTCCCCATTTCATTTTCCTTGCATCAACAGCCTGATTTCAAATTTATTTATTGGGCAAGGAGGGAGAAGTGGGGGATCTTCTCCCTATTAATGAAAGCTACTGATGGGACAGGACATTTTCTTATTTATTGTTAGTTGGCCTGTTGCCTAGCAACTGCGAAGTGATAGCTGTAATTCACTTCAGCTGTATGCTTCCTTTTCCTTTCAAAAGTTTTGCTTAATCTGATGTGTTTTTATATTTAGAAGGGCGTCAACATATACACATAAACCTCACAGTTAACAAAAACATCTTGCTTTAAACAGTGTAAGAAAGGTGGGAGCTTCATTGAAATCCATGAGACTTACACCCAACCTAGGTGTCATTAAGTTCCCAGCTCAACAGCTGGTCTCACCCCTAAATGTGCTCCCTCTATTCTTTCAGTCCTTGATAGAGTCAGATAAACAAACATTGATCCACCATAAGAACAGTTTAAAATCTAAGGCAGATGAGGATTGCTTTCCTTATGACTATTTTTAATCATAGGTCTTTCTAATGACTGGTGATTCTGATTTTCCTCTTGGAAAGATGATTGTATTTCTGTTCAACATGTATCTGGTTCCTTTATGTTTGCATAATATTTTACAATCTGTTTGCCTTCTATCACAGAGAAAACAAGTTGCCTTTCTCTTCTGTGGAGTGGGAGATTTTTTTTTTTAAATAAAATTTGTTCCCTGTGAAAGCTGCCTTTAAACCTGGACCTGGGCCTCTCCCAGCTTAGCCTCTGGGCACAGGCCATTTCCTGATCTGGCTGGGGACAGTGCTTATGGGACTGGGGTGGGGTGGGGGGGCTGGACATAGCGCCACAGGGGGCCCCAAGCCCATTGC